TAAAAGACTTTTACTCAGATGGACTCAGGAAAAAATTTTTTTTTTTTTTTTTTTTTTAGATTTTAACAGTTTTGGACGAATGGACCAAAGGAGTCTTCTGGTCTCTGCGGGTTAAAGTGATTCATGAAGAACCAAAAACAGAGGTGTTGTGGCATTAATCCCAACCAAAGGACGTTCAAAGGAAACTCTTACTCTTTGATGCTGCTGGTGGGATCGGCTGGAAGCCCCCAGTAGGGATGCCGATGACACTTATCCTCTTCACCAGGTTGGCTACGTTACTCCTGTCTCTCCCCTGGGGCTGGCTGGACTCCTCTTTTGGCTCATTTTTGGTTTCTTTGACCTCCTTGGGATCCTTTTTCAACTCCTAAGAGGAAACAATAGAACATTTATACACTTTAACAATAAAACTATCATCTATTTTCACCATATTTTTATCTGCAGTGTAATCTACTGCAGTGAAAACGGGCTGTTTCTCCACAGCTCCACAGAATGTGGTCAGAGGACATCCGATACAGGAACTGTGCACAGAGTGGTCGACTCCCTCAACATCTCATGGTTTCCATGGAAAGGGGACGTGTAAAACAGGCCTGCTGAGGAGAAGTGAAATGCCTCACTCTGCAGCGCAGGATCGTAAAACTTTCACGACACTCATGCAAAATGCAGCTCAGGCCATTGATCCCCGTCAAGCCACAGAGCCTGACAGCGAGTGAAGCTGCCTGACAAAGACTCAGACCCAAAGCAGAACCAGCGCCCCGCTCATACGTTCAGAATATGGGGGGAAACAGGCGCAGCTGATAGAGGCTTTAGAAATGGTCCAATTTCATTGAATTATGTCCATAGATCGGCTCTATTGTGTTTCCTTAGAAACAAGACCCTGAGATGTTACACTATTTAGCTGAAAGTTGCATCAATGTTTGGGTGGGGTGATCCAGTGGAGGGAAATGAGCTCAGCTGCAATTCGTCTAGCCAGCAGCTAAAAGAGGAGAGGAGGTTTACTAGAAAAGCTCTGAGAAAATGGCAAAGATCGACCAAGGTTGTTACCAGAGGGGGACAAAACGATTTTAGACTGACATTAAAATAAATATCAGCCAAAGAAGAAAGAAAGGAGGGTTTAAAAACACATTTTCCACGGCCGTAGCACTCATTAAAAGTCAGTATATCGGCCTGATTTCAGTGTAATTTTTCTCTTTCAGCATAGCCAGCCCTGGGAGGGCGGTGCCCAGATATCAGCCAACGGCTCCTAAAAAATCAGAGTACCAGCCTGAATGTCAGCAAGTAAATCTTCTTTCTCAGAGGGGACATAATGATATTAGATAGATCTCTATTTTTTATCAGAATTATTAGCTGAAGATCACGATATCTGTGGGATTCATTCTATCATCTGCAGTTCTGTGCTCCTGCTCAGACGCATCAGTCTGATTTTATTCTTTATTCTGCATCAGCCTGAAAAAGACCAGAGGTATTTTAATGAAGATAAAAACACAAGAAAAGGGAACATTTTGGTTGGTTAGCAGGATCAACAGAAACTTATAAACAGATTTTAAGGACATTTTTACCAGAGGTTTGTCTCATGCTGTGGAATAATCATTTAAAATTTGGTAAATGTCAAAATAATGTACGACTTTTAGCTACGATTTAAGTTACAATTTGGGGGGAAATTTACTGCGCGGCAGAGGTTGCGCTCTCCGAATGCTTTTCTAGTTTTTTCTGTGTTTCAGAAGGCAGTAGAAGGACAACTTGGACATTTTAACCACCACATAGTGCTGCTCTACTTTTGAAAGCATCCAAAGAAAGAAATGCGTCGATCCTGAGAGGTTGTTCAGTGCTGTACCCTCTCAAGTTTTAAAGGTGACCCATTTTATTGTTTACTTCCTGGTCAGCAAACACTGACATGAGGAGGAGGTCCAGCTGTGTGCAGAAAACATCTAATCCAGCTTTAGGGTTTTCTCAGGCTCTCCAGCAACAGAATCTGGAGGGGAAAACAAACGAGTAGCGCTTCTGCAGATTGTAGACTTCAGTCACTGCGCTGCAGAGTGTGAGGTCTGCAGAGCAACAGACTGCTGACACGTGCAAGCAACACACTCACAATGCATAAAGGGTGTTAATTAGCTTAAAAAAGAGGAAGAAAAAAAATACTAAAAAAAAAACATTTGGTTTCCTGTCATCACAATGTGATAAACACAGACACTCAACTTCTGTAGGCACTATCCAAAAGAAGTGAAATGCAAACAGACTCATGATTACATCTGTGGAGTTTAACTGGTTTCACAGAAGTAAGGAAAATCCAGCTTTAAGATTTATTTTTTACCTTTAAAATATCTAACATACACCCCACCCTCCAGGAAACATGGATCCAGATGTTTTGACTGATGAGGCATTCTGTGACCTTATCTTTCAAAAAACAGAAAACTTCATAGAATTACATGAAAAAGATGGTAATTTAATCTCTGGTGTAGGAAAACCTGAAGCCGGGCCTAGACTGTGTGGTTTTTTTGCCCTTTTCGAGTCGACTTTCCAGTTGTACGAAAAATTTTTTCGATTGGGCCGACTTTCCGCCTGATCGTGCGGCGTATAGTTTACAGGGGATAACGATGGGAGGATCAGGCAGTCGTGAGAGGCAGGAACAGTGAAGTCAGGAGAAAATCAAACATGTTTAAAATCCAGTGGGCAATAGTACGGTGTTTGTGGGCTAATCGCTCAGTGGACAAACAAGGATTCTTCTTCTTCTTCCTCTCAGACGAAGCATGGCGGGGGTGCGGGTGAAATGGAGTTCTTTCTGTAAAACTGACAGACTGTAGTAGCCATGTTTGCTCAGCCATGTCTGTTTCCAAGTACGCTGTCGCCTTTTCTTCTTTTTAGGGCTTTCAGAGCAAAAAATTTTACAAATTACCAAGGCAGCTCGTTTCACTCTAGTGAGCTTCATGTTCCTCTTCTACTCGTTTGGCTTCTGGATAGACGAGTCCGAGTAGCGCCATCTCACTGCGGAGCTGAGTCAAACGTGTTTTTTAGACATACAGTGTGAGCAGGTAGATCGCATCAGAGCGTCGGGTCGCAAAGTGTGAGAACATCCATTGTGAGTTGTGAACTTTTAAACCCTGAGGATTCATCATACAGTGTGAGCTGTAGCTGCGTGCAACAATTGAAAAAAAAATCGTACAGTGTATGCCCGGCTTAAAGGAGAGATAAGGTCATGATCTGCTTAAATCATGAAGATGAATTGAGCCAAACAAGAGGAGCTTATCAGCTAAATAAAAAGAAACTAGATCTCAAAATGTTGTGTCATTTGTTCACCACCAAAAAAACTATTAT